TAGCCTAGTACAGACAGACAGAGTATTACTGTCTGTCTGTACTAGGCTAGCTTGATTATCACTTCAAAAGTTTTTTTTCTCTTAATTAATTGGCCTCTCAGAGGTGGTAAGACAACTCCCACCTGTTTATGCTCTCTGTATGTGTGTATATATATCTCCTCAATATATGTTCCATTCTATATGCATCCGAAGAAGTGGGCTGTAGCCCACGAAAGCTTATGCTCTAATAAATTTGTTAGTCTCTAAGGTGCCACAAGTACTCCTGTTCTTTTTGCAGATACAGACTAACACGGCTGCTACTCTGAAACCTGTCATATAATCTCCTGATTCCAACTTTAATTAATTAAGCTGGGGCTGTAATGGAAATATCATGAGGCTTGTGATAAAATCATGAAAGTTGACAATCCTTCAAATGGTACAGGAAGTTATATTGGTAATGGCTGTAGGCAGTCCTCTGCCTTCTGAGTCATTATTGAACCAATGCCTCATTAGGTAAAGGTTTCAGAGTAGCAGCTGTGTTAGTCTGTATCCGCAAAAAGAACAGGAGTAGCTCATCTTAATGGCTCAAAAGCTTTTCAAAAACAGACTCCAACGAGAAACTGCTGAACTAGAATTAATTTGCAAACTAGATACCATTAACTTGGGCTTGAATAGAGACTGGGAGTGGCTGGGTCATTACACAAATTGAATCTATTTCCCCATGTTAAGTATCCTCACACCTTCTTGTCAACTGTCTGGAATGGGCCATCTTGATTATCACTACAAACATTTTTTTTCTCCTGCTGATAATAGCTCATCTTAATTAATTAGCCTCTTAAAGTTGGTATGGCAACTTCCATCTTTTCATGTTCTCTGTATGTGTGTATGTATATATATATACACATATCTATCTATCTATATATCTTCTTACTATATGTTCCATTATATGCATCTGATGAAGTGGGCTGTAGCCTATGAAAGCTTATGCTCAAATAAATTTGTTAGTCTCTAAGGTGCCACAAGTACTCCTGTTCTTTTTTCATTAGGTAAAAGCACTGTGCTATTATTCAGAGGAGATGGAAAACAACTCCTGACCACTTGGAATCATTAAAAATCCCATGCCATTTTCCATAAAAGTGGTGGTGGTAGTCCCAGTGTCCTGGCCTAGTCAAACTGGATAACTGCATTTACTGTATCTACATTTCCACTGTCATTTCCATTTGACATTCTTTGTCACTTCCTGTTCTGAAGTGCTATGAGCCATTAAGCAGTTAAAGTGGAAACATTTCAGTAACAGAAAAAACAAATTCCTGTCTTTTTCAAGTTTTATAAAAGCTTTTGAATCCTTCAAAATGAAAGGAGCTATAATTTAATTAATATTGAAAAATACTAATATTTTGTAGGAGCAGAGCAGCAAAACTATGTTGATCTTCATCTTTAATAAAGTGTAAACAATTCCTAGATATCATGGTGATAAGTGCTTTAGAAATACTGATATATTTCTAAATGTATCAATCTTTTTAATATATTTTAAAAGATATAAGGTGCTCACTTTAGTAACATCCCAAGGGAAAAATATAGAGCATGCAGCAAACTGTACTAATATAAAAAGGTCTTTTCTGTGACTTTGTAATTATCTTTTCACTAGCGGCAAGCAAATCAACTACTCTAAATTATGAAAAAGAATACACTAATACAAAAGTAGAAAAGCAGGTATGGTGCCTTATAAATAAACTGATATAAAACAATAAGCAGGAACCACTTTGCCGACCACTGAAATGCAGTAAATGCTAGAGTGAAATGTGTTAGCAATTTAATGAAGAAAGTGAAATACCATATCTAACTGAATGAAGCTGCATGGAGAATGTAGTTACCTGAACTGGAATTTGGTCAGGACACTGGGACGAACACCCATAAGCTATTTACTGATCACAGGAGGTCAAACCCCTCAGTTTTCTATCCCATTTGGGGGGAAAAAGACCCCTCCAGTAGAACAGTTCCCCTGTTACACAGTGCTGAAATATGAGTTCATTACTGACTAAGGGAAGAGTGCCACCTACTGACTGACTAGGCCCTGGAGGTTTTTCGCCTTCCTCCGTAGCATGGGGCGGGGGTCGCTAGCTGGAGGAGTCTCTGCGACTTGAAGTCTTTAAATCACAGGATTTGGGGTCTTCAACAGCTGAGTTAAGGGAAAGGGGGTGGGTCAGCTTTTGTGGCCTGCATCATGCGGGAGGTCAGACTAGATGATCATAATGGTCCCTTCTGACCTTAAAGTCTGTGAGTCTATGAGCAAAGGAGTTCAGTTTCTTGTCTCACTTCTGTCGTCTAAGTACAAACTTTGAGCAACAGTGAACTCTAACAAATTATGTGTAGAACTTTAGTGATTTACAGGGGTCACACCGAGCTTTAGGGTTGAATCATTGGTGACCGTGGCCTCAGTTCAGCAAGGTAGTTAGACATGTCCCTAACTTTAAGCACGAGTAGTTCCATTGAAGTCACGCTTAAGAACCTTAGGTAGCTGTTGAGGTACAAATACATATGTATATGAATATCTCAAGTGAATGAAGGAATAAGGCTGGAGGAGAAGAAACTGAACCTGGCTGAATAAGGAAAGGAAAGAAGAAAGTATCAATATAGCACATACTTAAGAGAGGAAGGAAATGGAAACAAAACAAAAAAGGAAAAATATCAAGTGTTTACTAGACCAGGGTCAGAATGTTCAGGACCAAACTACTTAAGCATGTGCTTAACTTTAAACAGATGAGTAATCCCACTGACTGCAACAGGACTACTCATGTGCTTAATGTTAAGCATGTGCTTAAGTGCTTCGCTGGAGTGGGGCCAGAGTGCTCAGCAGCCTGTGGGATCAAGCCTGATGGGACACGATTCAATAAAGCATCCCTACTCAAGATAAGTACATGCTTAAATGCCAAGCCCCACTGAAGACAGTGGGACTTAAGCATGTGCTTAAGTGCCATCCTGAATAGGGATGAACATCTGCACGTGTTTAAGTGCTTTCCTGAATTGGGGCCTGAATGATCTTTTAAAAACAAACAAAACAAAAAAAACCACCCACCGTCCTTTTTGAGCCCCAGGGCCAAATTAAAGTGTAGGCACTATAGGCTTATTCACAAAGCCCCAGCTCTTGGAGTCCCATGATGAGGTCAGAACCTTGGCTCTCTTTTTAAATTATGTTTCTACTACTCATGTATGTAAGAAAAAGCTTGAAAATGTGACCCGAGTGTAACTGATGCCCATCTGGTTGGCAGACAAACTTAAAACATTAGTTCTGAGAGGTGTGAACTATCCCATTCTCCTTAACTCTGATGCCTGTGCCACCCCAAGGAGAGGCAGGGCCATAGCGTGGGGCCAACATGTGGGATGTGCCTACAGTCCTGGGTTATCTTAACTCAGCCCTGTGGATGACATGGACATATACTTTCTTCTTGTGAAGACTGACTTGCATATGAGAGGCACAATCTGAACACAAGTCTGAGACCCAGGAACTCCGAAATTCCAATCCCAAGTCTATCAGAGAATCACTATGTGATTGTGAACAAGTCACTTTATCCTCTCTGCATCAGTTCCTAATGAGGGGACATTAATGCTTACTTGCCCACCTCACACAAGGTGTTGTGAGGATTAGCTAGTTAATGTTTGATAAATGCCAGAAACAGTGTTGAACGTTATATAATCCCATAGGTACATGCAAGATGCGAGTTCATATTTTTTTCTGATGAAATAATAAAGCACTTTGTCTTGAAAGGAAAGGTGGCAGTGCTTTCACAGTATATTATGGAAGCATAAATATCACTTATGCAATTCTTTGGCTTTATTTTGTTTCATTTCCTCGACTCAAAAGGAACAGGATTTTTTTTGTTTTGGGTGTGGAATGCTATTTACCTGCAGTTTCAATGCAAGGGTAGAAAGGAGGAGGCTTCTGCCAGTGTCCACTGGCATCTTTCATGTGGGATCGGTCAGAAGCAAATGTCTTCAGATACAAATCTGCTCGAATCAGTCTGATTTTTCTAAACAAACACATAATTCAAGAACGTACTAAGTGATGGAGTCATGTAATACTGTATTAGACATTACTAACCCAGAGCCTGTTCCTGCCCTTTAAATCAAATTCATATAGTTTAGTGGTATATTAATAGTGTCAAGTAGCTGAATGACTAACAGGAAGCAATGCAAGGAAATAGAAAGTTTTATTGACGGATGAATGATTGTACCTTTAAGGTCAGGATCATTAGAAGAGCAGTGTGGTGTGTTTAATTTCCTGCACAGTAACAGATTATACGTAGGTGACTATGCATACAAAGAAAAATATCAACTGCATCAATTGTTGGGGCTTGCTTTTGTAAAATATTCTGTACCATATTTGTTTTAATTTTCTCACCTTCTAAATCGTGGAAGAAGAATATCATCTGATTTAAAGGCCTCCTCAATGTAAGTGTCAAATGGACATGGAAATGGCAACACTGTGTCAAGATCATAAATGAAGTTCTGGTCTCCACTTGAAACATGAAGTAAAATAACATGGTAATCCTAGGAGTAAAGATCATTGACAGTTAACTAGACAGTTGTAAATGGTCATAGAGAAACCTCAGAGTTATTAGGAAAAGGGGACAGAAATCACCCCCAAAGCATAACCCATAAGTGATGGCGCAGAGATGAGCTGCAACTGTGATCTCCCCCCAAGTCTGTCCAGTGGATACTCTTTTCTAAGTGGAATTCCAAAGCTTATCCCACTTTAGCCTGGATCACCAGGGTGAAATGCCATCTACTCTCACCATCCTGCCACAGGTACAGGGCAAACAGTGCTTTATACCCTCTTGTCACCTGAGTTGCACTCATGAGAGGCTGCAAGTTTCACTACCTTCACCTCTCTCTGGCCCACAATTCTACCACTCTAAGACTGGATCCCAGGATAGCAGCCTGCCTGTTTTTAGCTGTAACAACACGACAGAGCCAACTGCAACGGGAACCAGCAAGACACTCCTCTTTGGGTACCTGTGACCCAGGGCTGATTAAAGTGACTCCAAACAGCTTCTGTCCATTCACCCAAAGGTACCCAGCACACAGGGAGAAAAAGTTAAACCTACAACAGTCCTGCACACCCAAAGTTTGCCTGCAAGTGATCACCTCTCTCAGGCTTAGGCAGCAGAGCTGTCTCAGGCACAGCCTGAAGAGCCCCTGCCTTAGTTCCAGAGCCCTGTTGAATACACCACCAAAGTAAGTTTTGTCTCCCCAAGCAGCTGCTGCCTGCTTCCCCACCCCCCTTTCCTCTGGGCTAGGGGTTGTAATTGCTTAGGCCCAGATACGTTGATTTCAGTGGGAATTAGGAACCTAAATACCTTTGAGGATCTGGACCTTAGTGTTCTTTTGGTCTTGGTCTCTGGCCTTGAAAAAGCAGGACTGTCACCTTTCTGGTCACAGGCAGGTAAGGAATTTTCAATAAATAGTTCACCCATTCCTTCTGTTAAGGTCCCTTGGTATTCTCCCTAGAGATACCTTATCTTTGTCAGTTTCATTTCCTGTTTGCTGCCGCCTAACGCCTCCCTCCCCAGTTTGATTTAACTCTAGGCAGTCAGACAGAATCTCAACCAGGGAAACCATACAAAATAATACAGATATCTCCTTAATTTCCACACCCTAATACAATAAAATATTTGAATTGGATAACATGTCTTTTGTGTTCATCTCAATCCCAACCAAAGGCTGGCACAGATAAAAGACGACAACTTGCCTCTTTATGAAGTGATTAGCAGGTAATTTTAATGCTGTGTTTGATGACTCATTTTGTACAATTAATCACAATGAACTGTAACCTAGTAAAGTGAATACAAAATCCACTTATGAAAAGAGTTTAAGGAGCTTTCTTATGACATTTTCAGTGCTAAACAAGCCTAGCTATTTGGAGCAAGAAATTGAAAAAATCTTTAGGCAAATTATTTTGCAATACTAATACATGTATTGGAAATGGAGTTGTGTGAAACAACAAAATTTAAAAGAGATGGAATAGTGACAATGAGAACAGGGAAACTAGCTATAGTCTTATGCAAGTTTGCATTTCTAGTTGCATTGTCTACCAAAAAACTTGAATTCAATACATTTTGGTGGGAAACACTTAAAATCTGTAATGGCCTTCTCTGTCCCTCTTCTGCCTTCCTTCTCATACCACTTAGATCTCATTCAAAACTAATATTTGTAAAGTTGGTTTGTTTTTAAACTATGTTATTTTTGAGTCACACTTGGGGACAGGGTGGAGAAGAGGTCTTGCAATGATATAATTAAAATGGCTCAAACAGGTTTTTTTCTGATTTTCCCAAACAATTCACTCCCAGTCTGAGATGGCATATGCCAGTTTAAAAAAATAAATAAAGTTATAGGTACCTGAATAGGGCATTTATACTGAAAGTGCATCTTAACTGTCACTTACTAGAATATAAGATTGCTGCACCAAAATTGGACTAGTGCTCCAGTACTGGACAATTCAGAGAAAAGTTCAGTGATAATTATGTCCAAAAAGGAAATTTTCCCCTAATACCATCCCACAGGGCATATCCCTGACACATGAAGCTGTATAACGCTCATGTTTTTCTATCCCATGTACTATATATGTTGATATTTTCATTATCCATGTAAATATCTACACTTTTTTTGGATCCAACTAGGCTCTTGGCCTCAATGCTATCTTGTGGCAATAAGTTCCACGGGTTTATTATGTGTTGTGTTAGAAGTTTTAAGTTTGTTGACTTTTGATTTCATAGGCTGTTCCATTGTTCTTTTACTATATAAGTGGTCTACTCTTAAAACGCTACGTTGGCGCAGCTGCACTGCTGGAGTGCTTAAGTGAAGACACTCCTATGCCAATGGGAGAATCCCGTTGGCATAGTTAATCCACCTCAGTGAGAGGCAGTAGCTATGTCAACGGGAGAAGCTCACCTGCTGACATAGTGCTATTTACACCAGGGGTTAGGTCGATATAACTATGTCACTCAGGTGTGATTTTTCACACCCCTGACTAATGTAGTTATATCAATATAAGTCTGTAGTGTAGACCTGGCCTTAGAAAAGCACACATGGGATGTTTTTAAGAACCTGAGAATGACCATACTGGATCAAACCAATGGTCCATTTAACCCAGTATCCTGGCTTCTGACAGTGGTTGCTGCCAGATACTTCAAATGGAGTGAACAGAACAGGACAATTCATAGAGTGATCCATCCCCAGTCATCCAGTCCCAGCTTCTGGCAGTCAGAGGGTTAGGGACACGCAGAGCATGGGGTTGCATCCCTGACCATCTTGACTAATAGCATTGATGGACCCATCCTCAATGAATTTATCTTATTCTTTTTTTATCCCAGTTATAGTTTTAGCCTTCACAACATGCTCTGGTAATGAGTTCCACATGTCGCCTGTGTATTATGTGAAGTACTTCCTTATGTTTGTTTTAAACCTGGCTATTAATTTCATCGTGACCCCTGTTCATATGTTATGTGAAGGGGTAAATAATACTATCTTATTCACTTTCTCTACACAGTTCCTGATTTTTTTTTTTTAACCTCTATCATATCCCCCTTTAGTTATTTCTTATCTAAGCCAAACAGTCCCAGTATTTTTACTCTCTCCTCATATGGAAGCTGTTTCATATCCCTAATCATTTTTGTTGCCCTTCTCTGTACTTCTTCCAATTCTAATATATCTTTTTTTCAGATGGGGCAGCCAGAACCGCACCCAGAATTCAAAGTGTGAGTGTATCATGGATTTATATAGTGGCACTGTGATATGTCTTATTATCTATCTTATGTTTAATGGTTCCTATCATTCTATTAGCTTTTTTACACTGCTGCTGCATATTGAGCTGATGTTTTGAGAGAACTATCCACAATGATTCCAATATCTCTTTCCTGAATGGTAATAGCGAATTTAGACCCCATCGTTTTGTATGTATAGTTGGGATTCATTTTTCCAATGGCATTACTTTGCATTTATCAATGCTGAATTTCATCTGCCATTTTCTTGCCCAATCACCCAGTTTTGTGAGATCCTTTTGTAACTCTTGACAGTCAGCTTTGGACTTAACTATCTTAAGTAATTTTGTATCGTCTGCAAACTTTGCCACTTCACTGTTTACCCTTTTTTAATTTATGAATCTGTTGAACAGCACTGGTCCCAGTACAGATCCTTGGGGAAACCCTGACATATACCTCTCTCTACTTGAAAACTGACTGTTTATTCCTATCTTTTATTTCCTATCTTTTAACCAGTTACTATTTATTTTATTTAGTATTTGACTATTTGCCAAGCCAAGCAATAGCGTTCTTAGTGGCCAAGTTACTGATACATGAGAGGACATTCCCTCTTATCTAATTACTCCTTACTTTGCTTAAGAGCCTTTGGTGAGAGACCTTGTCAAAAAGACTTTCTGAAAGGTACACTATATCCACTGGATCACCCTTGTCCATATGTTTGCTGACACCTTCAAAGAATTCTAATAGGTTGGTGTGGCCTAATTCCCCTTATTGCTTAATGTGCTAGAGGTAGTAGGGAAATGAGCATGCTATAAGGATCTATATAGAATAGAATGTCTTACCCAAACTACAGGTTCATCTCCACATCCTGACTGCTGCTTCCAGAGCGGTATCTGCAAATTACAAGTTAGAAGCTAATTTTAAGTAAACTAAACAAACATCTAGGATTTCAGTCTAATACAAGATAGGTTGGTCTTCACTGAATGATAAAATTAGTCAGCTAGCGTTATATCTGCGATGCAATAATTAAGCTTTTATCAGATTGTCTTTTGGTCTTTTTGAGCTCTTAGTTGGGGACGTTGTTTTGGACCACACAGACCATTCAGTCTCCTCAGCTGACTGATAGCAGCAAAGGGATCCCTGCCATCCTCAGGTAGATGATACTTCTCCAAATGTCAACTCCAAGGCCCAGACTGCCATATTACAACTAAAAGACCTGCCTTTTAGGATCTTTTCCACTATCTGTCTGACCATGGGGCCCAGGTTAGCTACAAGGCTCAGGCCACCTATATGCCTGGACAGTGAATCTGTTTTGATCTTTGTTCCATATCACAACTCATCAACTTACCATCCTTCTCTCATTGGATATGAAAACAGCATAAAATTCTTCTAAAGGGTATTGATCATAGCTTCTGATGTATTCACAAAGTTTCCAAACATTTTCCTCACTGTAAAATACAAGTTTTTTACAGTTCTTGTTTTATTTCTGATTTATACAATAAAAATAGGATAGATGTTGTGATTATTCCACTTTTGGATTCATTTTTCTGTTGAAGACTTTTTCCCCAACTCCCCTTCACAAATCTATTTTTAATCTCTAAAATTTAGGTCCTAGCTCTTATAAAAATGTTTCCACAAATAATTCATAGACTTTTAGGCTCAATTACTGTTTAACAGACAGGAGGAAGCATAATTTGGTTTACTCTGTCATTAAATGCTTTGTAATACCAAATGACTGGTGTATCTAGTGTTTTGTCTTTTCCTCATTGTTTATGGCAAAGAAGTTTTGAGTCAAGTATCAACAAATTATATTATGCAACAGAGGGTCCTGTGGTACCTTTAAGACTAACGGAAGTATTGTAGGTCCTGAGACCTGTCGTGTTCCCCCCACACACATGCTCTGTGGAGATAGGGTACAGGAACAGGGGGGCAGGAACAGGGGAAGGGGGACACCCTGATATCAGCACCCTTCTTCCCCACCTCCCCCGCCCTGCACAGCAAGCAGGAGGCTCCCAGGAACAGCTCCAAGGCAGAGGGAAGGAGCTGCTCCAATACTTCTGTTAGTCTTAAAGGTGCCACAGGACCCTCTGTGGCTTTTTACAGATTCAGACTAACACGGCTACCCCTCTGATACTTAACAAGTTATATTAAATACAGTAACTCCTCGCTTAATGTTGGAATTATGTTCCAGAAAAATGCTACTTTAAAAGGAATGATGTTAAGGAAATCCAATTTCCCCATAAGAATTAATGTAAATGGGGAGGGGGTTAGCTTCCAGGAAATTTTTTTTCGACAGACAAAAGACACACACACACACACACACATATATGTGTGTGTGTGTGTGTCTTTTGTGTATATATATATATACACACACACACACACACTAAGTTTTAAACAAACAATTTAATATTGTATACAGCAACGATGATTGTGAAGCTTGGTTGATGTGGTAGAATCAGAGGGTGGGATATTTCCCAGGGAATGCCTTGCTGCTAAATGATGAACTAACACTGGGCTGAGCCCTCAAGGGTTAACACATTGTTTTTAATGTAGCCTCACACTACAAGGCAGCACGAACGTTGGGAGGAGACAATAGATCATGGCAGTGGCTGCAATCTGAATGTGATGATGAACCCACGCTATCCCACTGGAGCACACCACTCCCTCCACTTTCCAAAGTGCTGGGTGGTGCATGTGTGTGTGAGACAGAGACACACACCGTGTGTGTGTGTGTGTGAGTGAATGATGCATGCACCTTTAAGTACGCTGCTAACCCCACTCTAAGTACACTGTCTTTTAAGTATATCAGCTAGGGTTACCATATTTTGTGCCTCCAAATGGAGGACACTCC